AAGTTGTCTTCTCCATGGGAAGGCCCATATGACATAATGGATCGTCTCTCAGACGTGACTGTCCGAATAAAATGTGGTCGGCGAAGTAAGACGAAGGTGGTACATGCCAACAGGCTTTGGCGTTATCACGGTCCAGTAAACTCAAATGCTTGTATGTGTACTCATATGTCATAAATAACATTATTTCTTTCCATCTCTGTAAGATTTTCTCGACGTTTGTTTGAATATCATTTGCCGCGATTTCTTCAGGATACTTCATGTTGCTTAATCTTGCCATCATGGACTCGAATTCTGAACTGACATATCTTACTCGAATATAGTAGGTTGACAAACCAGCTTTTGTTTCGCATCTTTTTGTCAGCAGCTTAACGATATCGTGAAATGTATGCACCCAAACCTGTTCATGTTATCAAAGGAGTTCTTATATGCTTTGTGAAGGCCTGCAATACTCCGTCCGCCACGTTCATAAACAGGAATATCTGTAAATACGTGGTTGTCAATCCTTACATTCCTTGTTTGACCAGGCTTTACTTGATGGCTTTGTTGAATGAATGTAATTGCTGTTGCAATCTTCTGGCTGTCCATACGGAAAGTATAATTGTGTTTTGGCAGATCTGTTCCACACTCCAGAGTAGCAAACTTCTTTTTTGAGGATGAAAACTTTACTTTTCCCAATGAGTGCTTCTAAACGGGTATAAGCTATTTTTGTTGGTTTGGTAGGCTATTGAATTCGTCGGCGAGCATCCTGTTGCATGTACGTTGTTCGAGTGAATTTGCCAAAATGCTTCGAGCAACTACGGAAATATTTCTGCACCCAACAAGTGATAGCTTGCACAAGCATTTGGAAATTGGTTCCGTCGTATATTTCTCATTAGTTTGTTTGTTTGTTTGCTTGAATTTAAGCACAAAGCTACACACAGAGCTATCTGTGTTCTGCCCACCACGGGTATCGAAACCCGGTTTCTAGCGTTGTAAGTCCGCAGACATACCGCTGTGGCATTTCTCATTAGACTGTAGTTTGTCGATAAAATATGTCTTCAATCCAAATGTATCGGTCGGATACAAAAGTTGGAATAACTTATCGGTTATTTGTGTGTATATTTGAACAGCCCTCTGTCTTTGTCTGACACTTTGCAATGCATTAGCTTTATATCCACCTATAGGTAAACATTCCAAAGGTGTGCGATTAGCAATACCCAAGGCATTAAATATAGTAGTAATGGTTTTAGAGGCGTTTCCATCTTCTCCAGAATCAATATCATACACCTTGCTTTCTTCTAATCTAATTCAGTTTTGAACTCTCAGGGCACTTGTCCTTCTCATTACTCTTCTTTCAGCATCATTTCTTCGTTTCCAAT